ACATATCCCCTCTCACCTAGTCAAACATTTCCCCTCTCACCGACCAAACGTGTCCCCTCTCACCAAGTCAAACATGTCCCCTCTCACAGGACAAACATGCCCCTCTCACCCAGTCAAACGTGTCCTCTCTCACCGGTCAAACATGTCCCCTCTCACCAAGTCAAATATGTCCCCTCTCACCCAGCCAAAAATGTCCCCGCTCACCCAGTCAACTATGTCCCCTCTCATCCAGTGAAACGTGTCCCCTCTCACCGGTCAAACATGTCCCCTCTCACCTGTCAAACATGTCTCCTCTCACCGATCAAACATGTCCCCTCTCACCCAGTCAAACGTGTCCCCTCTCACCGGTCAAACATGTCCCCTGTCACCCGTCAAACATGTCCCCACTCACCCAGTCAAACATGTCCCCTCTCACCGACCAAACATGTCCCCTCTCACCCAGTCAAACATGTCCCTTCTCACCTAGTCAAACATGTCCCCTCTCACCCAGTCAAACATGTCCCCTCTCACCCAGTCAAACATGTCCCCTCTCACCTAGTCAAACATGTCCCCTCTCACAGGACAAACATGTCCCCTCTCACCCAGTCAAACGTGTCCTCTCTCACCGGTCAAACATGTCCCCTCTCACCAAGTCAAATATGTCCCCTCTCACCCAGCCAAAAATGTCCCCGCTCACCCAGTCAACTATGTCCCCTCTCATCCAGTGAAACGTGTCCCCTCTCACCGGTCAAACGTGCCCCCTCTCACCCAGTCAAACATGTCCCCTCTCACCGATCAAACATGTTCTCTCATCCATGTCAAACGTGTCCCCTCTCACCCAGTCAAACATGTCCCCTCTCACCGATCAAACATGTCCCCTCTCACCTGTCAAACATGTCCCCTCTCACCCAGTCAAACATGTCCCCTCTCACCGATCAAACATGTCCCCTCTCACCCAGTCAAACGTGTCCCCTCTCACCGGTCAAACATGTCCCCTGTCACCTGTCAAACATGTCCCCTCTCACCCAGTCAAACATGTCCCCTCTCACCGATCAAACATGTCCCCTCTCACCCAGTCAAACATGTCCCCTCTCACCGATCAAACGTGTCCCCTCTCACCCAGTCAAACATATCCCCTCTCACCGAGCAAACATGTTCTCTCATCCATGTCAAACATGTCCCCTTTCACCAAGTCAAATATGTCCCCTCTCAGGCAGCCAAAAATGTCCCCGCTCACCCGGTCAACTATGTCCCCTCTCACCCAGTGAAACGTGTCCCCTCTCACCGATCAAACATGTCCCCTCTCACCCAGTCAACCATGTCCCCTCTCACCCAGTCAAACGTGTCCCCTACCACCGATCAAACATGTCCCCTGTCACCTGTCAAACATGTCCCCTCTCACCCAGTCAAACATGTCCCCTCTCACCGACCAAACATGTCCCCTCTCACCCAGTCAAACATGTCCCCTCTCACCTAGTCAAACATGTCCCCTCTCACCCAGTCAAACATGTCCCCTCTCACCGACCAAACATGTCCCCTCTCACCCAGTCAAACATGTCCCCTCTCACCTAGTCAAACATGTCCCCTCTCACAGGACAAACATGTCCCCTCTCACCCAGTCAAACGTGTCCTCTCTCACCGGTCAAACATGTCCCCTCTCACCAAGTCAAATATGTCCCCTCTCACCCAGCCAAAAATGTCCCCGCTCACCCAGTCAACTATGTCCCCTCTCATCCAGTGAAACGTGTCCCCTCTCACCGGTCAAACGTGCCCCCTCTCACCCAGTCAAACATGTCCCCTCTCACCGATCAAACATGTTCTCTCATCCATGTCAAACGTGTCCCCTCTCACCCAGTCAAACATGTCCCCTCTCACAGGACAAACATGTCCCCTCTCACCCAGTCAAACGTGTCCTCTCTCACCGGTCAAACATGTCCTCTCTCACCGGTCAAACATGTCCCCTCTCACCAAGCCAAATATGTCTCCTCTCACCCAGCCAAAAATGTCCCCGCTCACCCAGTCAACTATGTTCCCTCTCATCCAGTGAAACGTGTCCCCTCTCACCGGTCAAACGTGTCCCCTCTCACCCAGTCAAACATGTCCCCTCTCACCGATCAAACATGTCCCCTCTCACCAAGTCAAACGTGTCCCCTCACACCCAATTAAACTTATCCCCTCTCACCGATCAAACATGTCCCCTCTCACCCAGTCAAACGTGTCCCCTACCACCGATCAAACGTTCCCCCTCTCACCCAGTCAAACATGTCCCCTCTCACCGATCAAACATGTTCTCTCATCCATGTCAAACGTGTCCCCTCTCACCCAATTAAACTTATCCCCTCTCACCGATCAAAATTGTCCCCTCTCACCAAGTCAAACGTGTCCCCTACCACCGATCAAACGTGCCCCCTGTCACCCAGTCAAACATGTCCCCTCTCACCGATCAAACATGTTCTCTCATCCATGTCAAACGTGTCCCCTCTCACCCAGTCAAACATGTCCCCTCTCACCGATCAAACATGTCCCCTCTCACCTGTCAAACATGTCCCTTCTCACCCAGTCAAACATGTCCCCTCTCACCGATCAAACATGTCCCCTCTCACCCAGTCAAACATGTCCCCTCTCACCGATCAAACGTGTCCCCTCTCACCCAGTCAAACATGTCCCCTCTCACCGAGCAAACATGTTCTCTCATCCATGTCAAACATGTCCCCTTTCACCAAGTCAAATATGTCCCCTCTCAGGCAGCCAAAAATGTCCCCGCTCACCCGGTCAACTATGTCCCCTCTCACCCAGTGAAACGTGTCCCCTCTCACCGATCAAACATGTCCCCTCTCACCCAGTCAACCATGTCCCCTCTCACCCAGTCAAACGTGTCCCCTACCACCGATCAAACGTGCCCACTCTCACCCAGTCAAACATGTCCCCTCTCACCCAGTCAAACATGTTCTCTCATCCATGTCAAACGTGTCCCCTCTCACCCAGTCAAACATGTCCCCTCTCACCGATCAAACATGTCCCCTCTCACCAAGTCAAACGTGTCCCCTCTCACCGGTCAAACATGTCCCTGTCATCGATCAAACAGTCCCCTCTCACCCAGTCAAACATGTCCCCTCTCACCGATCAAACATGTCCCCTCTCACCTGTCAAACATGTCCCCTCTCACCCAGTCAAACATGTCCCCTCTCACCGATCAAACGTGTCCCCTCTCACCCAGTCAAACATATCCCCTCTCACCGAGCAAACATGTTCTCTCATCCATGTCAAACGTGTCCCCTCTCACCAAGTCAAATATGTCCCCGCTCACCCGGTCAACTATGTCCCCTCTCACCCAGTGAAACGTGTCCTCTCTCACCGGTCAAACATGTCCCCTTTCACCAAGTCAAATATGTCCCCGTTCACCCAGCCAAAAATGTCCCCGCTCACCCGGTCAACTATGTCCCCTCTCACCCAGTGAAACGTGTCCCCTCTCACCGATCAAACATGTCCCCTCTCACCCAGTCAACCATGTCCCCTCTCATCCAGTCAACCATGACCCCGATCACCCTGTCAAACGTGTCCCCTCTCACCCAGTCAACCATGACCCCGATCACCCAGTCAAACGTGTCCCCTCTCACCCAGTCAACCATGTCCCCGATCACCCAGTAAAACGTGTCCCCTCTCACCGATCAAACATGTCTCCTCTCACCCAGTCAAACATGCCCCCTCTCACCCAGCCAAACATGTCCCCCCCCATCCCCCCCCTTCCCCGATCAAACGTGTCCCCTCTCACCCAGTTGTGAGTGAGTGAGTGAGTAAGTTGGGTTTAACGCCGCTTTTAACAGTATTCCAGTTATATCGCGGCGTGTCAGCTTAATGTGGGAGGAAAGCCCGAAGTGATGCAGGTCTCGGACGTTTACGACTTCTGTGAAACCCACGAGCACGGGTATGGTGCTGACAAACCTAGAAACATAATCGGGGCGAACCGGGATTTGAACCCACAATCATAGGTTTCTGGCGTGCCCAAAGGACGCAACTCTGCACAACGAATCACGGCGCCTTAGACGACTGGGCCATCCGTGCCACCCTCTCACCGAGAAAACATGTCCCCTCTCACCGGTCAAACATGTCACTGCTCATCCCATTACATGATGAAGATGATGATGATGTGTGATTGGCAATACCATTTGCTTTAATCTATCGATTGGCATTTACATGACTGACGGTTTTAATTATTTAATCAATACAGACTCCCAGACTTGAAATTCCCAGCAGGGACATGTCACTTGGCCAGCAATCCCAAATTTGGACGGACAGGCACTAGCACAAAGCACGGACAGGTCAACGTGCAACCCTTATTCCTACAAACAAGCACTTTTATCTATACCGTTGCAACGACATCTCTGCTTTTCACGTTGATGGAATTTAATGTCAACTTCAAACTTCTTTATGCATATCACTCATCTAATTCGCGATATGGTTGAAATACTGTTGATTTACTGATTCCATGCACATTTTGTAAACATATAGATACAAAAGTAGTTGTATGACAAAATCTAATAATCAGCTTGTTCAATACATTTTAGTCGTAGCTGTACATGTAGTGTTGTAATAGGTCCAAATCATGAAAGTCTAACTCTTTCATATGAATACATCTGATAATGCCCATGATGATTTCTGTGTTTTGCTCATTTTCTAAATGATGCATTTCCCGAGGTCCAAGAAGGACCGTTATCATACCTCATCCGTTTTGTACAGTGACAGCAGTCATTTGAGCACTTCATTATGCGGCGACTATTATGAAACCTTTATTATCGATACAGCGGCTGTCGCAATAAAATCCTTTCAATATTGATTACACAATCCCCCTTCCCCCTTCGAACGGGAACAGAAAACAAAGACCGGATTCTATGCGTGGAGTTTCATATTTCTTCGAACCAGCGCTTTTCAGGGAGAGCTGATTTCAAAACAAGGCTAAAATCGTTATCACCTAAGAGAGAGTGTAAACAGTAAACAAGTTATGCAATGGGTATAACTAACCACCTTCAAAAGCCTCGTCATATAGTGTTTGCTGGCTGGGACGCACAAGAGCAAGGTATGTAATATGTATGAATTCCCCAGAATAACATGAGCACCGTTTTTGGCCTCGTGATCTAACTATATAAGCTCGAAACATTGTTTTCTTATTTTGAAATATTTGTTAATGCATTTTATTCGTCATCTAAACAAGAACAGATGATTTTGTTTCTTAAATAAATGATGGGTGGCAGCTTAGTTCTAACCACTAAACACCATGTAATGTTTCATATGGGACACCGGAGAGGAAGCCATGTTACGGAATGAATAATTACAATCATTGGCCATAATACTTCCACTGTAGCTAAGTGCAATTCTTCATCAATACACGTATCCCTGGGTTTCATTTAAATTAGGTCAAATAATGCCGTATTATTGTCGCTACATGTTCCTTATTTCCATTCTTCTTAAAGTTGACACGGAAGTATGATACAATAAGTCTTGGTAATATTGAAAACTTGAAGACTTGAAACCCTTTATTGCATCTCATGTTTAAAGTAGGAGATCGTAAACGTATGCACAAATAGGGCTTCAACTTCCAAGCAAAAATTACTTAAGGATTGATTGTGTATTGCTTTCGGTTCATTGAAGTATGAATAAAAAAGCCGATGTGTAAACTGTATGAATCTGCGTTGCGGATTCATACATTTGCACATCGGTTTTTCGATTGATACCTCAATGAACCGAAAAAAAATACTTATAATAAAAATCGACAACGAAAATATATGTTGTCTTAAATAAGTTAATAAAATAAAGAATTATATAAATCAATGCAGACAAAACGTGACGCGATTGATATATATTCCAGGCGCAGGAATACATACTGTGGCGTGACAGGAATCAGGTTATATTTAATTATGCACATATCTTGAGTCACTAGCCAATCAACGAAGAATAGCCTCAAGCAAACTTCATAGGACCTGTCAATCAAGGCATGAGGGGCGAGAAGATGAAATAAAATATCAGGGAGAACGCGGCCGTTTCAAATGACATGGTCAGGGAAATCACAGTTGAAAAAATGCGAGTTAGAAATGTAATCCGAAGACATGAAATTTGTTGAACCCAGGCGAGCGGAAAGAATTTAATGTTTTACATTCATTTGGAAATGATTGCAGTGACAGATAACATTCAAGCTAATCAGAATGTAGGAATTACAACGAACATTTAATTATTAACATTTGTAAAGGCAAAATGTTTTATGGATGACAACTTCTATATTTTATTATGATGCAACGTTTGGATATTTATCCTTATACTGTTGTGACTCTTGCTTGTAAGTCGAATACACCATTATACCATTGTCAAGCAAGAGTGCCAATGGAGTTAGCATCTATAACGAAACGTCATATCATAATAACTTGAAGAAGTTGTCATTCATAAGATATATTGTCTTTCCTGTTACTTACCAACTTCTAAATATGCCTTTCAGTTTATTAAAATTTAGTTCTAGGCTATGAACAATCCGCCTTGCTGGGTGAACCACAGTACCTGAATAACCAGACTGACCTGACCTGAAAGAGACTTTTGCAAGGAGCCATTGGACTGCCTGAAATAGCCCTTGTGAGTATCTGAGTAATCGCCTGCCAAGCTGATCTACCTACTGTTCATCCAAATATGTCATATTCTCAGCATGTTCATACTGTTTGAAATCCTTCACAAAATCAGCTGCCTCAACCCTGGCCAATACTTCCCATTTTCTTTTCCTCACCAAACAATTTTAGCTTTGCCTTCAAAATACTTTGCATTAACATTACCTATTGGACACGTGCCCATGTAAAAAAAGGTACAACCTTCTACAAAATTAAGAAAAAAATGTCCTTTTCTTAAAACGAGAGACGAAACTGACATGTCACATCCAAGTAATATTGATCATGTTGAGGGGAATTATTTCTGATTTGCAACGTTAACTAGATTGGTTTGTTGTTTAACGCCGCACTCAGCAATAGTCCAGCTATATGACGGCGGTCTGTAAATAATCGACTCTGGACCAGACAATCCAGTGATTAATATCATGAGCACTGATCCACGCAATTGGGATCAATGACATGCATCAACCAAGTCACCGAGCCAAGCATAGTCGAATTTTACGATAAGCATTGGTTACTGAAGACCTATTGTGTCCCGGATCTTCACGGGTCACGTTAATTAGAAGTTCATTTCACTTTCTCTCATTCAAGGTTATAACACTTAGCAAAAACTAACAATTCAGATGTCTGCAAAATCCTGATTGGCTCCTTACTTAGAAAACTTCAAATTTAGTTACGGATTTCATAAAGATCCTGTGTAAAAATATGAAGATGGACTGGCTATTTTAGCACTGAAATATGTTTTGTTTACAAATTTAGAATTCTCGGCAAATTTGATTCCTTTCTCAGACGAGCCCCCTTGTTCTGTTACATTTTGATTCCTAATTTGAAACGTTAAGGTTGACCCAGACATTGGTACAAATAGAACTAAATTGTGAAATCAGAAATAAGGTAGCACACAAGATCATTGAACAATCAACAAATCATATTGAGACACACTGAATCTGTCAGCAGTAATAAATAATAGGCCCTTTACACAAGTCCGTGCACTCACGAATATCCAGTGTCTGTCACAGTTGAATGTCTTGAATGAGGCACATGCTCCCTTCTTGAATCCAGTGTTGGCAGCAGGCACAAAAGTGTTTTCCAATAAGTATTCCGTCCGCACTGGGCAAGCCAAGTTGTAGGAGGAAGGCCTCTGATCGCCCTTGTCATGCTCTTGTACGTATAGCCAGCCTTCCAGAGATGATATAAATGGTAACATCATATGAGGACCACCTCATCTAAAATCTCCATATGATTTTGTCGAACAAACTTCATCAAGCATGTTCACACTCATATCCTCTTGCATGTCCAAACTCTCCTCGCCAAGCATGTCTATACTCATATCGTTAAATATGTCCCAAATAAACTTTCACGCATTGCCACAATCATCCCATCAAGCATGTTCCCCTCACACCCCGTCAAGCATTTCCCCATTTACCCTGTCCAGAGTGTCCCAGCCCACCCTATTAAGCATGTGTGTTCACACATCGGCTTTCATGTCCACACTCACAACTTCAGACGTGTCACACATCACCTTGTCACGCATAACCACAATCATCCTATCAGGCATGTTCATACTCACGCCGTCCAACTTATCCATGCTTACGCTGTAAACTATGTTCACACTCACCCTGTCAAGCATGTCCCCGATCACCCTGTCAAGCATGTCCACACTCACCCTGTTAAGCATGTCCCCGATCACCCTGTCAAGCATGTCCACACTCACCCTGTTGAGCATGTCCCCGATCACCCTGTCAAGCATGTCCACACTCACCCTGTTGAGCATGTCCAGAGTCACCCTGTTAAGCATGTCCCCGATCACCCTGTCAAGCATGTCCACACTCACCCTGTTGAGCATGTCCACACTCACCCTGTCACGCATGTCCCCGATCACCCTGTCAAGCATGTCCACACTCACCCTGTTGAGCATGTCCCCGATCACCCTGTCACGCATGTCCCCGATCACCCTGTCAAGCATGTCCCCGATCACCCTGTCAAGCATGTCCACACTCACCCTGTTGAGCATGTCCCCGATCACCCTGTTAAGCATGTCCACACTCACCCTGTTGAGCATGTCCACACTCACCCTGTTAAGCATGTCCCCGATCACCCTGTCATGCATGTACCCGATCACCCTGTTAAGCATGTCTCCGATCACCCTGTCAAGCATATCCCCGATCACCCTGTTAAGCATGTCCCCGATCACCCTGTTAAGCATGTCCCCGATCACCCTGTCAAGCATGTCCCCGATCACCCTGTTAAGCATGTCCCCGATCACCCTGTCATGCATGTACCCGATCACCCTGTTAAGCATGTACCCGATCACCCTGTTAAGCATGTCCCCGATCACCCTGTCAAGCATGTCCCCGATCACCCTGTCAAGCATGTCCCCGATCACCCTGTCAAGCATGTCCCCGATCACCCTGTCAAGCATGTCCACACTCACCCTGTCAAGCATGTCAACACTCACCCTGTTGAGCATGTCCATATACACCTCGTCCTACGTATCCTCGCTCACCCCATCAAGTATGTCCACACTCACCCTGTTGAGCATGTCCATATACACCTCGTCCAACGTATCCTCGCTCACCCCATCAAGTTCGTCCACACTCACCCTGTCAAGCATGTCCACACTCACCCTGTTAAGCATGTCCCCGATCACCCTGTCACGCATATCCACGATCACCCTGTTAAGCATGTCCCCGATCACCCTGTCAAGCATGTCCCCGATCACCCTGTCACGCATGTCCCCGATCACCCTGTTAAGCATGTCCCCGATCAGCCTGTTAAGCATGTCCCCGATCACCCTGTCAAGCATGTCCCCGATCACCCTGTCAAGCATGTCCCCGATCACCCTGACAAGCATTTCCCCGATCACCCTGTTGAGCATGTCCACACTCACCCTGTTGAGCATGTCCATATACACCTCGTCCAACCTATCCTCGCTCACCCCATCAAGCATGTCCACATGCACCCCGTGAAGCATATACCCCCTCACCATGTCAAGTAATTTAAAATACTTCAATTATTAACCATTAGTCCCTCGACAATAATGTTATTGATAATGATAATGACAATTCTTGGAACCAGCGCTTCTCATGGGGAACTGTTTTTCAACAAGAGGCAAAATCGTTATCACCTTGGAGACGGTGTAACAACAAATATGTTGTGCAATGGATGTAACAAGCCACCTTCAAAAGACCTTGGCTTATGGTGTTTGCTAGCTGGGACGCAAAAGAGCAAAATATGTAATATGTATGTATGAGGGCTGGTCAAAAAGTTCTAAGCCTCAAATAACCTTCAAATATGAGCCGTAACAAAGTGAACAAAGTCAATGTAGTACATTGTTTGAGTAGTTCATTGCAAGTGTATTTGGCCTGTTGAGGCCGCTGTATATTACCGACAGCCAGGTTAACGCCATGGGGTCCAAATGGACACATAATGGAAAATAGCGAGTACCGAGCAGTCATCAAGTTTTTAACTTAGGGGTAAAGTACTCCCCAAGAAATTCATGACCGTATGACACAAGTGTATTGGGATAAGTGCACTAGCCATCCTCTGTTAAACTTTGGGCAGCTATGTTTAAGGCAGGGAGAACAAGCCTCGATGTTGACCCTAGTTCTGGACGTCTCTCAACTTCCACCAATGAAGATTCAATCAAGGAGGGGCGGTGGGTTAGCCTAGTGGTTAAAGCGTTCGCTCGTCACGTCGAAGACCCGGGTTCGATTCCCGACATGGGTACAATGTGTGAAGCCCATTTCTGGTGTCCCCCGCCGTGATATTGCTGGAATATTGCTAAAAACGGCGTAAAACAATACTCACTCAAAAAAATCAAAGAGGAAAACTAAAAAACTAATACCGTCAGATAGACGAATTACCATTGCTGAACTTGAGGAAGACACAGGTCTCAGTCAGGGATCCATTAAAAATATTGTTCTATTATCAGAAGCAGCGACAATGCGAAAATGCCACAAGTCTGACCTTGAAAAATGTGGCATTGTCACGGTAGGGTTAATTTTGACACTTTTTGCTTGTGTTTGTAATGGCGACAACACGACAATGTCCAGGATTATATAGTGACATTCAATTAATATTGTTCATATTCAGGCAAGTGTATATGTTCTTAGTGAGTCACATGAATACACAATTAGAAGAAACAAATGTATCATTATAAGGGTGTATTGGTATCCATCAGCAAGTGTGAATCAGGTCATAGCACATCTGTTTAAGCTTGTCCAATCGCCAATGATCACATCAAACGTGCCTCAAAATGAGGCAGCATGTGTATTTATATATATTTTTTCAAGCAGAAAACAATGGAGTGGAACCCGGGCATTTCCCTCGAAGCCATGGGTGTCCATCCAGCTTCATAACTTATTACAATATAAAAATAATTTTATGACCAAATAGAAAATGTATCATTGTAGGTGAGGTGAGGTGAAATTTAACGTCGCGTCCAAGATTATTGCACTTATATAGCGACGTGCATGTACGTGTATGTGTTTGTGTGGCTGCTTGTACTAGTCCGGACTGACGCCGATTTATAGTGCTTAGCTCACTGAGATACCATGCCGCAGTTTAACATGAATACCCCACTCAGACACAGTATACTGACTCCTAGCCGACCAGTCCTTGTTTTAGCCCCTTAATGCCGAGCGCAAGACAGGGTAACAACAAGTACCATCTTTTAACGTTTTTTGGTATATCATTGTAGGTAGATGACGTAGTGCTGTTGGTGTCAAGGGCAAAGAATTTACAAAATACGATAGACTCATGCCATAGACATTGTAAAACTGGAGGATTAATATTCATATTTCCATGGCTAAAGTAATTATTTTTTCACTGATCTAAAGGTGATAACAGAGACAGTTTCAATGTAGGTGAATATACTTTATGAAATGTGGATACCTATAAAAACCTTGTTGTTATCTATCTTGCAACAAAACCCTTAAATTTACTAGTACAAAGCAATAAATATCAGAACAAGCCGCTAAAGCAATGTATTATATTCTATCCCAAGGACAGAAATTACATTTGTCAATTGGATGTCAACTGCGCCATTTGGACGCTATGGTTGTACCAATTATTTTGTTACCGTAGAGCAATAAGCCATTTCAAAAATCTATCTGACACAGAAACTATTTATTAGTTTTTCCCTGAATCCTAAAAATCACTTTCTCATGATCTATAATTTAATGAAAATTTGTATAAAAGCTACTTCTAATAACTTTAATGAAAATTTGTAGAAATGTTACACCATGACAGATGTCTGATTTTGTAGACTATTAAATCTTTTAATTCCGCGCGTGAGTGCATGATGTCTGACTATTGTGGCAGAGCAATAGTGCTGTGCCAGCTGCCTTTCGTGGTTGTCACAATTGTCTTAAATGTCATTGGATAAACTTTGTAACGGAATATTCCATCATCCAATGAATGGACCTATTTCAATTTCTACCGTGCCATTGTATATTCCTGCATTTCTATTGATCGGCGATCTACCTTTTTCGTTCTGAAAACCCACCAGTTTGCAATATCAAATACCAATTTTACTTGATGAACGTTGTGAAATACTGTGACTCTTCATTGTTTGAAGCAAGTGTGGCAATACATAACTCATATTTGGTTACTCTTTGATTTATTTGCAGGGTTAAAATATACGATGTTAAAGATGTCACGAAAAAGTAGCGATCCCATGTTGAGATTTGTGGATGACTTAATGGACCAGTCCGTGACTGAAACCGTTTTGTTGGAATCTCTGAAGGAGATCATGGGGAAGAACAAAGCCACTGGGAGGAACAAAGACATTGTGACAAGCTACAGATATAATGATGACGAGAAGAACAAGCATAAGCAATTTCGACATTCAGATTCCGGAGAGTCGCTGCTTCACATTGCCGTCAGCTGTAGGAGGAATGAAGTTGCCAAGGAAATAATTAAATGTGATAAAAATTTAATAAACTGTTCGAGACTGGACGATGACTACCGTGGACAGACGCCATTCCACATTGCCATAGCCAAAGCCCGACGTGACACTGCTGACCAGCTCGATCAGCAAGATCTACTGAAACACATGATAGACAAACTTAGTCCTGATATGCTCAAAACAGCGATTCATACAAAAGTTGTTGGAAAGAAATTAAGAGGCACTGTGATGTTAGGAGGGACATCTTTGTCCATTGCTGCTTTGAATAATGATAAAAGTATAATTGAACTCCTCCTTCAGAAAGGTGCTGATCTGGAACTTCCAGACATTTCTGGGAATACAGTTTTTCACTCGTTGGTTCTGTACGCATCTTTCCATCCAAAGAAAGAGGAGAACATCATCAACATGTTTAGACTTTTGGGAAAAAAGAGCAAAGTGAATAAGAGACAAAACATACAACGAGAAAACCTTCGAGGACAAACAGCGCTTCATCTTGCTGCCGAGTTGGGTCTGGACAACGTGTTTAAACACATCCTTGATATGGAAGATGCATACAAGTTCTTTACTGGTCATGACGGTGTTTATGATATCTACGAGTGTGATATAACAGAGATTGACAAAGTAACTTGGGTTAAAACTGTTCTTCAGAAGTCGCCTGATCACACAAACACATCACACAGAGCTGAGGGGTTGCACAACGACAGAGAGGATTGGAAGATACAAAGAAAGTGGAAGAAATTGAAACAAAATAAGAACCAGAGCATTTTGGAAACCATATGCAGTTTGAAGACAGCAAAGGCCTGTGAATTTCTGAACGACTACACGGTTCAAGAAGTGGTTTACTTAAAGTGGGAGAAGTACTGGCGTTTCTACTATGCTGGCCTCATTTTGCACATATTACTCATGAGTGTCCTCACCTACCATTCTGCATGTAAACTTGATGTCATGTACAATGCAGGAGAAAAATGTAACTGGAATTTCAGGGCTTGGAATAGCTTCTCAATCATCATTAGTCTCTTTTATATAATTCTAGAATTTCACAGGACATTCCTTTCATGGCAACCTTTCCATATGACAAGACTGCATCACAATGGAGTATACAGATGGATATTTTTGCTGTTTGGTTTGGCATTGCTAATAGACGCGTCGTGGAATGTTGTAACTGTTACAAGCAACTACTGTCTGGTGATAGCATTGCTCCTTGGTTGGTGGTCAACAACCTTCTTCCTCCGTGGAATACGACCGCTGACCTACTTAACACTTATGTTACAGAAAGTGCTTTTTGTAGATATGCTGAAATTTATACCAATCATCTTCATAATGTTTTTAGCATTCACTAGTGCAATGCACAGTTCGATGGTGGGAACCGACCCTGGAAACGAAGCATTTGCGAATTTCACTATCAGTCTGGTGACGATGTTTAAAATGATGACTGGTCACGAGGAGGTGAGCGGGCTTCAGGAAGCATGGATGCAGGGATCTATCCCAGTCTTTGTCCTTTCTGTCATATTCTTCCAGATGTTCCTCCTCAACGTCCTCATTGCTATTATGTCAGACACGTGCAGTAATGTCAAGAATTCCGAAAACCTGTTGAGGCTACAGAGATTGTCCATTGTTTTATTCATTGAAGATATACTTCCTGCATGGACGAAGAAGCCCATGGGGGAAGAAAAAAACATTTCCAGCAGTACGAGATATCATCTCAAAATTGATCGTTTGAGAGGGACAGACGTGTTTGAAGAGGATGCCATTACATCACTGCGCAATTTAATAGTGAACAGATCAAAAGTAGAGGAGGTGGGCCATGATGTCAGAGCACAACCAGTCCAGTATCTAGTTATTGACAACTATGGGACGAGTACATAACAAATCAAGATGTCATCGTCAAATTGACAAGTCACATTGAAAGTGTCAGACTGGATGATTGTGAAAACCTATATATGGCTAAGCACGCGCACTATTGTAGAGTTTGAACAGCAGCAGTCGAGTGCTTCTTTGTTACGACAACTTAGTGTTCAACATATCTCTAAAAATGGTATCTCTAGAAAGGGTGCGACAAGTGTAATTCTCATTTGTGTTTGAGCTGGAAACTCCGCTCGTCATTGAGCTTGTGATGTCTGTGAAGCGGTTAGGCTCATCATGTATTTGTTGTTTATTGTTAATTAATGTATTCGATGTTATGGAATTCCCTTTCCAATAAGATTGGATTCCCAGAAGACTGCATGGTGGAAAACAGTGGTGGTATATTGAAAAAAACTAACATCTGTTGTACCTAACTTCTAATTCCACCTATTTCCGTAAGAAGACGTCCACTTCAGAGGAAACACGTCCCACGAAGCGCAGTTTTGGAAAACTATTTTCACAGAAGACACTCCACGTCATCAGGATCACACCCACCACCGATGAATATAACTCACCTAAAAGAAATTACCAGCATTTCAAAATGAACTTAAAGGTATTACATCCGTGTTCCTTGAAATAAGGACAATGTTTTAGGCATATGGCATGTACGGTTCCATGTCAATGACAATTAAGACATGAGTGCATGTCTTGCTTAAAGGAGAATCATTAACGTGATATATATGTACCTTTCGAATATGTCATATTTCCCAATTGTTGGTTTTGTATATTGATATAATATTTGTTTCTTTGTTATATTGTTGTCGACTTCTATCTCACAATTGTACTTCCTTAAACCCCAAGGGTTTCCGGGTTAGAATTAGTCCAAACAAATCTTTTGCTGGTCGTAAGAGGCGGATAAATGGATCGGATGATCAGGCTTGTTGACTTGGTTGCTCGCGTGTCACTGTATTCCGACGGCGGTAGATCATTGTTATAATATCAATCACTGGATTCTATGGTCCAGACTCAATTTTTTCCTGGCTTGAATGAAGATGCTTGCGACGTTATACAACAAAGAAACAAATCTTTGATGAGGTCAAGTACACACCTCCTAATACTATAATTATTACCAGCATTTAACAAATTGACTTCTTGAACTTGAACTGGGTTTTATAGCATATGTCTTATACGGTTCCCAGTTAATGACAGTTAAGACATGGATGCATGTCTTGCTTAAAGGAGAGTGATATTTAAGTGTGACGCTCACACCTTTTTGATGTTTCATAATTTTCATTTATGGGTTTTGTATATTGTTATATTTTGTATTGTTGTCGACTTCTGTCTATTTTATGATTGTACTTCCATGATCTCCTTTTGGGCGGTCGCGTAGCCTAGTAGCTAAAGCGTTCGCTCGTCACGTCGAAGACCCGGGTTTGATTCCCGACAATGTGTGAAGCCCATTTCTCATGTCCCCCGTCGTGATATTGCTGGAATATTGCTAATAGCGGCGTAAAAAACATACTTACTAATTCATGATCCCCGTGGGGATCCCGGGTTTGAGTTGGTCCCCAACAAGCTTTGCTGGTCGCAAGAGGCAAATTAATGGATCGGATGGTCAGGCTCGGTGACTTGGTTCATAACCGTGTATTCCGACGGCGATAGATCATTGTTATAATATCAATCATTGGATTCTATGGTCCAGACTCGATTTTTTCCTGGCTGGAATGATGCTGATTGCGACGTTATACAACAAAGAAACAAATCTTTCATGTGGTCAATGTTACACAACGCTTAGAATACAATAGCTGTGGTCAGTACATAACTTCTTCTTTATCTGCAATTGTTAAATGAGCAACTTGTCATGAAAATGTGTTCACATATATCGTCTTACTTCGTGAAGAAACGGCTTTCTTTACTGCGACCGTTCTGCGTTACTCCGTATACGTTACTGCGTATATTATAACAAGCTGACGGGTATTCTAATAATAAGGACTCCGGCGGTCGCCGTTCCCCGGTGTCTTTTTATTCGTTGTCCGAGACTTTGTGACACGTACAAATTATTCTCTAGCGGTTTAATCGAATACTTGTATCATGTATTGATTTCATATATGTTATGTCATACATGTTTGCTACCTTGTTCATGTATGTTTTAGTGACTGGTTTTCAGGCAGTAGCGCTATTATCTAACATTTGTAGATATTTCTCATGTATTTATGTGCCCATGAAGATCCGGGGTAGAATAGGTCTTCAGCAACCCATGCTTGCCGTAAAAGGCGACTATCCTTATCGTAAAAGGCGACTAACGGGATCGGGTGGTCAGGGTTGGTTGATGTATGTCATCGATTCCAATTACGTGGATCGATGTTCATGATGTAAGTCACCGGATTGTCTGGTCCAAACTCGATAATTTACAAACCGCCGCCATATAGCTGGAATATTGCTGAGTGCGGCGTAAAACAACAAACCAAACCAAATCATGTAGTTATGGTCACTTTTGCCTCCTTGGTAATTGTAGATATCTGGTTGTAAATCTTTAGTGGTACCGTTGGATAGATTATGTTCAGCGCTGTATGTTGATACTTACATCTTCCACATTGGTTAATAGCTAGTTTGCTGTTCAGGTTTCTCATACATGTATGTCAGAAAACACTTTGTTTTTTGCTTCAGCATGTAGCATTTCCCCAGCTGACCAGGACGGGTTCTTCTCTCCGAGGTCCGCGCACACATATATAACCTTCGTCGAAATCCTGTGTCTTCACCATCAGGGATCGCCAGGCCGTTTACGGGTCATTTTGCTACTGGGTGGTCATTCGAAACTAAGGTTTCGTTCGTAAGAAATTACGGGGCAGTTTTAATCTGGAACTGACTTACTCTGGTTGTATTGAGCTAAACATATTAGCTAGGTTTTTTCTAGTAACCCGTGATTGGCTAGTTAAGGTCAGGTCAAGTTACTCATTTGGCCAAGTACTTTTCTAAATGATTGTGAGTCTAGATACCTAATAAGTTAAGTACCTTGTATTTTGGGGAAGTTTAGAATTTCCCAGCTCAGTCCAAGTGACTTAAGTCTATAAGACTAGTTTGCTATTCAGACGTTTTTCGTCTACTTTATTGTCCAAGAGAGTTATTTTGGGGGTAGGCCCTCTGTGTTTTCTTCTCCCTATTTAACCTAGACGGGGTAATTCACTCATTAGAGTGTTGACTTAATTAACTCTTAGGTATTAATTGGTCGCAGCCGACGTAATTGAGGTGTCTGTGCATCATGTCTATTGTGTTGTCAAAGTGTTGATTTAGCTACCCTCTTTTGTTTCTCTAATACAGCTGCTTAGCTTGTATATTTGTTCTGGTTTAAATAATCAGTGATCGTTGTTGGTGATTTTTTATCCTTTCTATTGTCATATATTCATACAAGTTACAACTAGCTGATGATAATAAACCTGTGAACCTACTACCACGTTTTAATAATTACTTTTTTTCGTGTTTAATGAGACCCGTGGAGATTCCGGGATAGAATAGGTCTTCAGCAACCCATGCTGGCCGTAAAAGGCGACTATGCTTGTTGTAAGAGTCGACTGACGGGATCGGGTGGTCAGGCTCGCTGACTTGGGTGATGCATGCCATCGATATAAATTGCGTTGATCGATGCTCATGATATTAATCACCGGATTGTCTGGTCCAAACTCGATTATTTACAGACCGCCGTCATATAGCTGGAATATTGCTGAGTGCGGCGTTAAACAACAACCAATCTTGTTTAATGACACCCTGGTTTTTGGAGCACAGCTCTGTGACACCCTTCTACTATCAACCAAATCTTCACAGTAATATAAATGTTTCGTTGCCAGTCCATGTGTCATTTTTTAACGCTGACTGATTTTAAGCTTTGTTTGAAAAAAGCGATCAGCTGGCGTAAACTTTGGAACATACAAGGCCATAGAAGAGAACACAAACGCGGACATAACACGAGCAGTTATGTACATTTAGACGTGCTATCAATAAGAAATTGTCTATATATGAACTGCGTCAAATAAAAAGTGACGATGGCTACTGTGACTTACCCGGTTATAGTCAACGCGTTCACACGGACAGCCGAAATCATAATTCATTCCCCACATGGTACAATGTATGAAGCCCATTTCTGATGTTCCCCGTGGAATATTGCTAAAAGCGGCGTAAAATTATACCCACTGACTAACTCATACACAAAGAGACACAAACATCGGCCAAGAACATTTCCAAAGCAGGGTCCCGGCTTTTAATATTCCTTCGAATCATGATATTTGAACGTTCGCTGTTTTAATAACAGAGTTGTATCCGAAAGGCTGGTCTTCCTGAACTAATTTAGTGGTGTCATCAAACGCGGAGTTACCTCCCCTTGTATTTTTGGCAGGTTCTTTCTTTTTACGACAGGAGAGGAAAACCAAGACGCCCACGATGACCAGACCCAGAGGCAATACGGCAAAAACTCCAAACCAGAACACAAGACGCTGCCCACACTCTGTACCGAAGGACAGCAGGTCGTCAGACTCTATGATAACATCTTCGCTGTTACCGGCAGTCAAATCCAGGACACATTTTGTTGCCGAGAGACATAACTGCTGCGCATGACTGGTGTCAAAGGTCGTGCGGTTCACTTCCAGTTCCGCAGTAACGTCAAGGGAGGTAACAGAGTGATCGTTATCCTTCGTGATCGTGACATAGTATGTGTCTCTACTTACGACATTATACTGAAATATTAAATTCCCGTCTTCACATTCTGTTCTCAAGGGAATTACGCGCAATGAACAGCCATTACACCCACCTAACCCTGACGTCCAGGCGTTCCAGGAGTTAGTTCCCTTGAGCACAATAATCTGGACATTTTTATCCTTGCTTCCGCTGTCAATACAGCTGTCAGTTTCATCTTTGAACCTTCCAGAAGGTAGAAGGAATTCCTATTCACGAGAATGCCTGGGAATAAATCAGCTGCTTGTCTTGTCAGTGTAGAAATGTTTCCACGTTCTATTCTGGCCGTTCCTTTCACAAGGAAAACGTTCATCGGATTCGACGACGTCACGTTGTAGGTGTTGCAGACGACGGGGTTAAAATCACCTACTACGGCTGCTTGGCCAACGCCACCAAGGTCGTTGCTATGGTAACCGAACTCGACGCTGGACACGTTGAGGTACGCCGTCACGGATATGATGACAATGATTGATACGTACAACAGGAGGGGATGACACTTGATGCCCGGACAGGACCCCACGGGGCAATACATCTGGAAATAATGAAATAAAACGGTTAGATATTGAAGAGGAATTTTGTGTACAACGTCAGCAGTAGTAGTACTAGTAGTACTAGTAGTAGCAGTAGTGGTAGGAGTAGTAGTAGTAGTAGAAGTAGTAGTAGTAGTAGTAGTAGTAGTAGTAGTAGTAGTAGTAGTAGTAGAAGAAGTGGTAGCAAAAGTAGCAGTAGTAGTTTTAGTAGTTGGGGAAGTAACAGTCGTAGACCTGGTAGCAGTTGTATTGCTAGTAAAAGTAGCGGAAAGTGGCAGTGGTAGTTGAAGTGGTTGTGTTTGTAGAAATAGTAGTAAAACTGTTATTGTTTGTGATGTGTTGTTTCATAGGAATAGTCAAGGTATATATCGAGTCAAGACCAGATAATCTGGTGATTGATATTATGAGCAATGACACGGCATCAATCACGTCACCGAGCTGGACCACCCGATCTTCTAATTCTCCTCCCGGCTTACAAGCACAGCAGAGGGCCTCTTCTGACCTGGACTCCCTACCAGTTTCATTACGATGGTTTGCTCCTAAAAGACACCTGCCTGTAGTAATAGTCGTAGTAGTAGTAGTAGTAGTAGTAGTAGTAGTAGTAGTAGTAGTAGTAGTAACAGGGGGTGAAGTGGTAGTGAAAGTAGAATTAGTAGTAGTGGTAGTAATTGTAGTAGCAGTAGTAGTAGTAGCAGAAGTAGTGGTAGTAGTAGTAGTAGTAGGGAATGTAGTTTAAGTAGAATTAGTAGTAAAGTAGTAATACTAATAGTAGTAGTAGTAGTAGTAGTAGTAGTAGTAGTAGTAGTAGTAGTAGTAGTAGTAGTAGTAGTAGTAGTAGTTGTTGTTGTTGTAGCAGCAGCAGCTGTTACAGTGCTAGTACTTGCTGTTTGTTTGTTTGTTTGTTGTTTAAAGCGGCACTTTGGTACCAAGTCAGATACAACAACAGTAACACGGACGCTAATGTCAATAACGTTGCCTCCCTGAGATGTGCCATAAATCTGTTATCGTGGTTTGTCCTGTGGTCGTGGGTTTCACCAACGTTGCAAAACGTCTAAGACTTGCATAACTTCGGGATTTTCTCCCACATCAAACTGACGCGCTGTGCTTCTGAAACATTGTTCAAATCGGCGTTAAACCAAAGTCCTCTCACTCAAAGAACGCGCTTTCTATAAATTTAAACGACAAACATGAAGGTTTCCAATATCATTGGGTAAAAGATAGTGTTTTACCTTGCATTTCAAGATGTGAGGGGTGGAGCTTCTGTTCGCTGAACAAACGGTTTGAGCGTTATATACGCTGAGCCTGTAGATCGACCACTATGTGGTCATAGGTCACGAGATACCGAGAAGCCGGATACTCATAACTGACGGTCATTAGTCAAACAGTCACGTCGCACTGATATCGGCACGTGAGTGGGTATCAGCATGATAACAACTTCATCATTGCGGTCATGTAAACAATCGACGTGAAATACATGTCACGTCTTAAATCATGGGGGTCTTTATTTATACGGGAGGATTGGGGCATTGTGTGTGTGTGTGTGTGTGTGAGAGAGAGAGAGAGAGAGAGAGAGAGAGAGAGAGAGAGAGAGAGAGAGAGAGAGAGAGAGAGAGAGAGAGAGAGAGAGAGAGTCCTAAGACCAATCTCACCCACCCTATCATCTCACACATCTTTTTGTCACTCTCACTAAAAATAGCCCGCAAGGTGGCGGTGTTTCGAACAGTGACTGACAATGTTAACACAACCGAGTGTCGAGAGAAGCTTTTCGATAACCGTACGTTAACAAAATCAACACAGACCGTCAAACTTCGTATCAACTTTAATTACAAGAAACGCACAGGTTGAGTTTTATTAAATTTATTGTACCTAATAAAGTCGATATATTTAATTTGATATCATAGATACAAATATGAAATTTTGGAGCTCGATAATCACATGTTGTCGTTGTACACAGGCATTGAAAACTGTTCACTGTCATGTCACAAGGTTCAGTAGCAGTAG